ATCTGGGCCTGATTTTGAACAAAGGAAAGTCTATATTAATACCACCTCAAAAAATCAAGTTCATTGGGGCCCTACTAGGCCCTAGGAGTTCAAGAGCATTTCTGCTGAACGAATGATTTCAAGTAGTTCATCACCTGTGTCTGGCACTCCAATGTCAACCTTCTCTGCATATACCTGAAGTTACTAGGTCATATGGCTGCATGTACTTACCTAGTCCAACATGTGAGATTGCACCTTCTTCCTCTTCAAGTGTGGTTGAAGCTGGTCTGTCACCTGAGTTGTCAATTGTTGAACAGGCTTGTCTTCAGCCATCCTGGACTCTCTGCAATAGTGGGCAATTCTAAGCAATGTGTGTCAGCGTGTTCTCTTTGCTTGTCCTCCACCAATCAGGACTATAGTCACCATGCTTACATAATAGGTTGGGAAGCACATCTAGTGACATTGAAAATTCAGGTCGTGTGTTTGTAATAGGAGGCTTCCTTTCATATCAACATCCTGGAGCTTTGAGCTTTGCCGAGTGTTTCAGGATCACATCAGTGTCACAGTGGTTCATATACTCGCTGACAACACCACTGCGATATATTATGTGAACAAGCAGGGAGGAGCTCACCCCAACCAGCTTTTTCAGGAGCCAATAAAGTTTTGACAGTTCTGCATCAAGGAGAGCATCATTCCTGCAGCCCCTCACTTACCAGGGATTCAGAATTACTTAGCTGATCACCTCACTGGAAATTTGTCCCAGAATCAGGAGTGGTCTCTGAAGACCCGTGTGTTCAGGTCCATCTTCACAGAATGGGGCATCTAGACTACCAACCTGTTTTCAACGAGAGACAGCTGTTTGCCTCTTGAGCGGGTCTCAGTCCAGGTTCCTTAACCGACACTTTCCCTCTTAATAGGGGATCAGCTCTGATGTATGCCTTTCCCCCATACCACTCATTCCTCATCTTATTCTCAAACCAAAGTTGGATCATGCCAAACAAAATCTCATTGCACCAGCTTGGTTCTATGACCTATTCAGTCCGTCGGTTCGATCTCCCATATCTCTTTCTCTTTCTCCTGATCTACTGACTCAGCACCATAGTCGAGTTTTGTATCCAATGCTGAGCAGAGTGCACCTCATGGCGCGGATGCTGCATGGCTTGATGAGTAGGAGGCATACTGTTTGGAAGCTGTTAGACAAATGCTACTCAATAGTAGAAAATCCTCTACTAGAGCTACCTATTCTGCCAAGTGGAATCAGTTCTTGATTTGGTTACTAGTATGGGGTATTCAACCAAAGCCAGCCCTCATTCAGGAAATTTTTGAGTATCTACTATACCTTCAATCTCTGGTCTATCTCTCAGGTCCTTGAAGGTCCACTTAGCTGTGATTTCAGAGTTCCATCTTCTGATCCAAGGGAAGTCAATTTTTTTGAACTCCATGGGAGCAAGATTTCTAAGAGGAAATTACTCATCTCCACCTGCTGGTGAAAGAACCAGTTCCCTTGTGTGGCTAACTGTGTTAGCTTCCGTTTGAGCCCCTGATGACTTGTTCTCCATCAGCTCCTGTGCCAGAAGACAGTCTTCCTTGTTGCTTTAACATCTGCAAGGAGAGTAAGTGAGCTGGAGGCCTTACTGGCAAAGCCCCATATATGCAGACCCTATAGTCACATCCAAAATTTTTGTTGAAAGTGATTTCCCAATGTCACCTTAACCAAGTAACAAACTTATCAGTAGCCTTGCCTAAACCGTGCTCAAAGGCAGATGAACAGCGACTTCATACATTGTATGTGAGACAGTGCTTGGCATTTTACCTAGAGAAGACTATGTCTTTTTGTTCATCACCCTGTGTTGTTGCTATTACCACTGTGTCTAAGTCAGATGCAAACTTTCATTGTTTAAGTAAAGTCCAAGCCCCACCTCCTCTGAGTACCGCTTATGAGTCAATTGAGTGGAATACACATCTGCAACCACTGGAAGAAGAAAAAATGGCTACTACCTGTTGTTCTTTGAGATGGGGGTGCAGATGTGTATTCCATGACCCACCCTCCATCGCCTCTGCATCAGAGTCTCTACTCTCAAAGTTCAGCATGGAGGAATTAAGCCAGGGGGTGGGAGGGAGGCATCAGGGCAGCACTGTCTTAAATATCCAGGAGAGGAGCTAAGGGTCAGAGGGCACAAACACAGCCCCTGTGGGAACTGCTAGTCAAAGTTCTCCAGCTTCGGTGTGCTGGGCATGCGCACACCTAAGTGGAATAATGTCTTCACCCACATCTCAAAGAAGAGCAGTTACAGTACAGGTAGGTAACGGTTTTGTCCAACAGGCCTGAAACATAATGCCAATTCTTTCTTTGGGTCTGTGCACAAGTATTTCTAGCACTTTATGAAGAAGTCGTTGGTTGAAGCTGGCCTTTAAAATAAGTGTTTATGAAATTCAATGTTGCCCCTTGCAAGTTGCTGTTTTGCACCATGAAAATTGTCCCATTTACCAAGAGGGGTAAAATGCAATCTTAACTGTAACCAAAAGATCATTGACTTAGTATGTTATCATGACAGCTGTTGTTGGCAGGATAACCCAAATGGAACGAAAGAGTGTAATCGAATGGATTGTTGAATAGTCTCTCAAGGGCAGTAGTGGAAGCCTTACCTTCATTAGGTGCAATCAGAACCAAACTGGACAAAGCCACACAAAATATATACCTTAGGGAACAATCTAGTACTAACAGCTGGATGAAATAAGCAAGTTGATCTAACAGACATAGGGGATTTCCATTTCTAATTGCTTTTTTTGCAAGGAATGTCAAGTGAATTGTCCAAGATCATTTAGCATGTCGGTGAAGGAGCCCAGAATCTCAATGCTCAGTTCTGTATGCTAACCACTAGAAAATGCTCTCTTCTGAGTCAGACATTGTAATGTAATAAAATATTTTCAACGAAACAGCGTATCATCCCAGATGACAAAATCTAATTTACAATGGTGCCCTACATAGCCATCACTGGTATTAGGTTACAGAACAACAAGGCAATCCATCATGCAGAACTTAAAAGCACAATCAGAGTTCCATGCTAAAGGGCACACTTACATATATACACTTCAAATAATGTAACAAGGCAGTTATAAATTAAAATAACCATATTAGAAACTGAGACAGGGAATTTCAGTCAGCCGTGGTTCTATTAGAAGATATAGCATAGAACCCTCTTTTTAGTTCTGCAAGAAAGAAAACAGAGCCGCATATTTTTTAGAAATTTCCAAAAGTACTGTATCTGTTTATTTGGCTGGACACCTAAAATTATAGGTCTGATTAGGATTCATACAGCTTATGGAACAGCTTGCTCACAGAATATAAATGTGAAATGCACTTCAGTCTGTAATGATGAAATGTCTAAAATTAAAAGAAACTTGCAGAGGCATGTGGAGGACATTAAAATAATATATACAGACTAGCCTGGGAGTGCCAGGATAAAAATGAGAGGGAGAATTTTGGATGATAATACCAGGTCATAGAGTTCCATGAAATTGTTCTTGCTGGATCTGATATATGACTATGTATCATGCATATCAGTTTTGACAGTTATGGATTCTCACAGAAGAACTTTGAAACCTGCAGCATGTCACAAATCCTTCTGATTTCAAAAAGCTGTCTTAGCAGCTCCCATGAAAAGTGCTTTCAAGCTGTCAATGCAGCCAAAAGCCATGGACACACTATTAAAATGGACTTCCAGGATCTGTGTCTTAATAAGAATAAAAGCAGATGTACATCCTTAGAAATACCTTAACATCTCGGGTGCTGAAGTATAGTACATGAAGTTTTACAGAAAATGCTTCATAGATTAATATTGTTATCTATAGGCTATTGGTTTACATATGTTCTTCTAAAATCAAGCTCTTTTACAAAAGAAAAAAAAATTGTAAAGCCACTTCCCTGTTCTCCTGCAAATCCCTCATTAAAACTTACTTTACCATACATCATACAGCTATGGTTGCTACTGGTGGTGTATTTATTTGGCCATGTTAACTTACAAGCCAATAAAAAATACACTGTACTCATAATCTGTGCACACAGCTAGCGTATTAAAATAGCTCATATTACTGTTACCTGATCTCCCTTTCCACCTGTGCCCAGGTTGATTGCTTTTACCTTATTGTTCTGTCTTATCTTAAACCAAAATTATAAGCTCTTGGGAAGAGAAATGGTATTTTACTATGTGGTAGTACAGCATCTAGCACAACGGTGCTCTGAACTGATTGGAACCTCTCCGCACTACCGTAATACAAACATAAATAAATAAATATTTTTATGTTGAAGAATTGATTGAATTATTTTTCACCCATGCTGAATCAGAATTCTTCCCTGGGTTGCCCTTGTGCATTTCAGAGCAGAACTTGACCCTTAAATGTCTATTATAAGAGATACTGGAAACCTCAAAGCTCTTTCGCTAAGTTGACATGGATTGTGCTCCATTTGAGTATGGTAAATGTTCTGCCATTTCTCTACTGACAGATGTTTAAACAAACAATCTGTCTGACGGTGCTTCCATTTGTCTTTTATAGTAGCTGTGACTGGAGCC